ATGTACATCACCATATTCGGTACGGTATGATCGAAAGTAATGCAAAGAAGTTGGTTGTGATGATACTAATGGTAACATCAAAGATATCTTCTCTACCTGTATTTTATTCACTCCAGTATTTCGTCAATAACTCTCAGCCAGTCTTTTGGTATGCAAGCAGCTCCAGACACCTAGTCTGATACATGGTCCTTACATTCTGCTTTTGCGGTATGCGAGAGACTGCCTAAATCATCGCTGGGGTTGTGGTTTATATCAGTAATTCTAAACGTGGGCTCTTAGACGCACACGTGGGCCTGAGAATTATTTAAAACGGGTCTGGAGAAAAACAGGTGGACTTTGAAATTCTGTTTTTCCATTGGCGTAAAATTCAGAGAAAAATAAACAACCTGCTTGACCTTATTTTTAAAGGCAAATAATTCAGAAATTATTTAAATAAAATTTTCCATGTTTACTTGTTATAATAAATTATATTTTTTAAATATTTTTTTGTTTTAGAAAGATGTGTCCAATTAATTTATTTGAGATCAGCATTTTTATTCATTTAATGTGAGTTATTGAGTTACAATATGACAGAATTAATTAGCAACAATGTTATTTTAGTTTTTGGTTATTATTATCTTATATCAACACCATTAATCCAGAGTTCCATCGTTAGTTATTTATAATATGTGGGCCTGAAACTTTTTGACACCAAACGTTGTCCATAAGGAAGAAAAGATTGAGAAACATTTGTTTTTAGAGTCATCTCTGCAACATTCTCGATCTAACGGTTGCAATACCTGATGAAGATAATAGGTCACATACTTCTACATTCAATGGCTGAGACTGACCCCAGGTCAAATCTCTGGTGCACTCAGCTTCCTGGATGTTTGGAGTCAATTTCGTGTAATGTCTATTCCGATATCATGCTAAAGTTAGTTATAAAGAGTGTTTCAATAAGACGGATCAAAGTCTGCAGTAAATAAATCAGTGTTATTGGTGAAAATTTCTTTCTTTCTTTATTGGATCATTTTATTTAAGTCATGGCAATTATGCGTTAAAATATTATTGCTCAAATATCCACCAAAGATTTTGGTGGCACACCTCCACTCGATGGTCAAATTTTTTTATGACATGTGTATAGTTGCTCTCTGATGTCACCAATATGCCTTATTATCTCATCCTTCAGCTGTTGAATTGCTGTTGGCTTGTTGGTATAGACCTTAATTTTGAGATGACCCCAAAGGAAGAAATCTAAAGGCGTCGAGTTGCACGATCATGGTGGCCAATTGACTTCGCTGTTTCGAGAGATAACGCGACCTGGGAACTTCTCATCGCATTTCTGTTTGAACTCCATTTTCGTAATAGGCTACGATAACTTTAACATGTTATTAGATTGTTAATCTTTCCATGGTTGAAATTGCCAAAGACTTACGTTGTTAAATCTGAAAAAAAAAAAAATGAAAAACATCATTAGACGTTTAAAGTTAATTCACATTTAAAATCGGTACAAGTTATTGGAACACCCTTTATTTCCGATCCAAAATAATTAATGTGTATAAAAAAAAACAAAAAAACAAAAACAAAAACTACTAACCAAACACTGCATTCTTTCAATTATTTACATAGATATTAAGTACGTTTCAGTGCTGCCATGCCAAAGATAGATGTTATGACATCACGTTGTCGACATTGTTGATGTTTTTGTCAGCTTCGAAGTTGTGTACAGAGTCGTCTCGTCCTTCCAAAAAGAAAAGTAAAATGTAAAAAGGATGCCATCTTAATTGCCTAAAGAGAAATATCCATTAACTATTGGTATAGTGTGGTTAGAACGTTCGCTTTCCGAGCGTGGGATCCGGGTTCGAATCTCACTGTAGTCAACTTGTCAGAAAGGTAAATTCTTCATAATATCGGTTTGGGGATGCGATCACAACGTGCGGTACTTTTGAGAGTACCTGCAAACCATATTACGGTTTCACTTCAAGTCTTGTTATGTAACTGGATTAACGGAACTGTTAAGAAGCCGTCGATGGTTGCGTTAACAGGAAGTCACAAGTTATCGTGAGCGAGAGTTTGGGCGTATTGGTGTTGCTCAACCTGCTGATCACGCCAGACTATGTGTTATTTCCCAGAAGCTGTAACTAAGGTCCGCTCGACATAGTTGCAGAATAAACCATAGATGAACTCTGTGGGTGTTGAACAAACACAAGTGTGACTAAGTAGGCGTCTGTGCAAAAAGGATTGGCTCGCCACCCTAGAAGACGGGAGTGCTGGGAAAACGAGCTGCCGGCTATTATCACTGGTATGTGTGTTTGTTTAGACTTTTGTTTCTCCGCGTGTTTGTGAGCTTATTTTACCGCAAGTGTGTTGCATTTGGGAGGGAACATGTTTGTTTGCTCGAAATACTGTATAAACGTTGTCTTTCAAAACGTAGTCGATAAGAGACGGAAAAAAGTTTGAAGAAATATCAAATTTTTATCTGTTTCATTTCGACTAAAAGGATAATTTGTATGGTTTACAT